TGGTCGGGGCTCTTACCTCCATTTCTGTGAGTATCTTTCAAGCTCTCATTGGTAAATTTGTCTGACAGCTGCAATTAGCATCGCCACAAGTGATAACTCAGGCATAATTATATCTGATTTCTGTTTGATACCCGAATTAAACTGATTTCTGTTTGATACCCGAATTAAACTCAGCCGCAACTGGTCTCGTCGCCACCATTACCGGCTTGCTGAACGGTCCCGTATCAGTCGCACTGGACCTTGGACTGGTTGGAAGACTCACATATCTAGCGATTTCAGTACAGGCACTATATTTCAGATTATAGGGCCACTATTCCCCGACTAGCATGCTTCCAAGATGTTTCAATCTGAGGACCTTAAAATGACCTTAAAAGTCGTCGACACGTTTTTTAATGGGGCGCAGTAATGCGGCTGATTGTCAGCACTTCATATACGCGTAAAGTCAGCAGGGTAGATTCTCCGGACACATTCCGATGATTTCACTTTGAAGAATTTCATCCCAGCCAGAAGCTGAGATTTTGTCTGAGCAGTTCACATACGAAGGACCTGTGGGATAAAAGTAGTAGCAGCTGCTCACGAATTAAGCTTTGACTTCTTCGTTCGCTGATAAGTTTGAACGTTCTATCCTCAATATTACACGAGGCACACAACATTAGAGATGGCAGTCGCCTGTTGCCGTTCTGGTTCTGGAAGTCCAGTCATTGCGGGATGTCTACCAGATTCTTTATTCTCCATACCGGATTCGCGCGAATTCGCACCGTCAAGAGGCAGCTGTGGTCCACTTTGTGTTGGCTTATAAATGGATCAACTTTGTTCAGGAGTTATAATGTGGCCTTGATTATTCAGATTGAACTGATTCAGCTGTAAGAGAACGAGTCAACTTCAACTGCAAATGCAGTCAGGCAGTTCTTGTATGTACATTCATGGGACTATCAGATGTAAGAACATCAATCCAAGAAATGGGTGGAGGGAGCAGATATGGTTCATGGAATCAGTGGAATGTAATGAAGTAAGATCAGGGGACCCAAAAGGTCATTTGTCCAAAAAATATAGGAACTTTGGCCGTGAAGGCGAGCTCGATGATGAGATAATGATGAGATTGCTTGTCTCTTGATGTGCCCTCACCCAAAGGCGGGTGCAAAGGCTGCATAGTTCAATCTGAATTTTAGACTATTCACGCACGAATAACGTAAAAAGTTTCTCAATTGAAAGTCACACAATTTTACTACGTCAGCTCTCAAAGAATTGAGCTGGACTAAAATGTCGCTGCCACCTGATTCCCGATTTTTTGCATGAGTTTTCAGAATTTGCAAACCGATAACGCATTCACATGCTTTCTGTCGTACATGGAGACACATAATTACGTCACACAAGAAGCAGGGACCTTGGCCGGAACGCAGTAAAACCAGATAAAAAGTACTTTGTCAAGAGATCTGATGATAAAGTTATCGAAATAATCTCTCTACACTAATCACGGACTCGTAGACTGGAGTATTTCCAGTTCACTTCAAAGACCCACATGAGACTACTGTAAGATGGGAATCTCATAATCTAGTCCGACAAGGGCACATTTTTCTAATAATTGGAAAAGAACATATATGGTCCAAACTTTGGTATACAGGCCTAGCTCAGACGCTAGATATGTGAGTCTTCCAACCAGTCACACCTTTCACGTGTAAATCGGAGAACATAGTAATGTAATGCAATGCAAATGAAATTCATCTTATTAAATTCAGCATTCGTAGCGAGGTTGGACGAGAAATGGAGTGTCAAACTTCTATATATCCGTGTTCACAGCGGTGTTAGATCAAGTATCAGTTGCTTCAAACCACCTAGACAATATACAGGACCGTATTCAATTTACACAAAAAAAAATTAGCTCGATATTGAGTTCAATAGAGAAGACATTTGATAACCTCGGTGGCAGGTGTTACATGGCGCATAATGTGGCAAGCGCGAAATGCAGATCATGGGTTCAGACTGGATCAGTGGAAGAAACACTTCTGAAGGGACTATAATGGAGAGAACTCCATTATCTTCCCTCCAGAAGACACAGAAATCGGCTTCACTATATACTGTGAAGCCGACTTGCTACCTTCTAGATCTTAAGCTCACACAGAATCTCAGTCTTCTAGCTTGTATCCGCAACTGCAGCGATGATGACGAAGACTGCCGTCCTTCTGGTCGCAGCATTTGCTGTTGTCCTCTCAGCATGGAGCCCAGCGGCTGCCCAACCGGCCTGCACAAGCGAGGGCAATAGTCACAACCACCACCACTCTTAGCCCCGTCGAAACTCTGATCTTCTAGATTCTAAACCACCTTGCACCTGCTGGCCCATCGTCATCAGAAACTTTCAGGCAGTTTACAGGACAAGTAGAGTTGCTTATGAAGAGCACTGTGCTCGATCTCACATCTCAAGTGGGACGAAGGTCCACGTCGATTGCTGGCGGCTGCGGGAGGCTGGGACGAGAAATCGAGTCCGGAATGAAGCAAAGGAATGCGAGGCGGAGGTGGACTCACCCGCCCAAGCCCATGGCGATGGAGCCGGCTGCTACCTCAGCCAGACCGGCCGTGACTACAATCGAAGAAGGGGCGGCCGCTCCAGAGAGTTCCGCAGCCAGGGCGAAGGGAACTGTCAGCCCGTCTCACATACCGATGACCACATCGCGAACGAACTCCCCCGCCGTGAAATGCTTCTCTTCGCTCGTACTCTGCTGAAGCTGGCCGTACAAAATTTCAACCTTCTTCGATCTCCGTTCGAATTTGCCAGAGTCGTTGTGCCGCCGGAGGTCACCGGCGGCACAACGAAAATTCAAAATTCTTCGAAATTCGAAATTCGGCAAATTCGAAATCCAAGACTCTTAAGTTCGAAACTTAAGAGTAAGAGTTCCAAACCTTGACATTGCTACGGGAGGATGAGATACAAAATCAAAAATAATAATTAATGCAGGGATGAGTTGATGCTGTGCGGAATGCTAATGGGTCAGGACTAAGCAGAGATCACGACTCACAACTGACAGCTCTGTCACGCTGAATTCAGTGTAAACGGCTTTCCGGAGTCAAGCGGAGTACTATCAGCGATGACAGCCCAGGCTGAAATTTACATCAAGATGTTTAAGTCTTGGAAGTCCTCCTTGACCGAGTCGCGCAGGGCCGATAACGTACCAGAAGGTAACCAATATTCTCCAATAGATTTGACAGAAGAGAAAAATGCCGAAATCTGCAGTCCAGCGACTAGACGGAAATCGACTTCTGTATTTACGCCAAGGTACTTGATATGGTGAGAGGAAGTTGACGTCAAGCGCTGAATTGCAGATTCAGATCTACGAGCAGCTTCGGGCTCTGGAGAGAGTGGGCAGAGTGGTGGGCGTTATATACTCCTCCCGGGACTTCACGAGGGCAAATCGACTTCGGGCTGCGGAGAGAGTGGGCAGAGTGGTGGGCCTTATATACTCCTCCCGGGACTTCACGAGGACAAATCGACGCTGGAGTCAAAGGATTGCGAAGGCACTAGACACACTCGGAGTCCATCTTCCTCCTCAATCTACATAGAGGACCTTTAGGACTGTTTGAAGTTACATCCCCTGATAATTTATTTTCCCCTCATTAACTTATTGAAGGAGCAGTGTAGTGTCCAACACGAAAGTACTCGTTGAATAAGTTAGGGAAAACTAAACGAATCTAAAACTAAAATCTTTTGCGTGTCTAGATCAAACAGGCTACTCCACTTGATAATGATATGGAAATGAGGAAAATTGGGTCATCATCATCATCACATGTGGAACTTAGGGTTTAGGGTTTAGTGAGGGTTTAGGGTTATGTGAGGCAAAATTTATTCAAGGTTCTCAAATAGCAAAGATAACTTAATAATTAAGTTTGTGATTAAATTGAATTTTTATATCTACTTTCAATATTTTTTCAACAACACTCACGAACTTATGCCCAAGATATCAATGGATTTACAGAGTCTTTCATTAAGCAATTAGATTTATTAGTAATACTGTTATTAAGGATTTATAACTTTCCTCGTCGTCTTCGCAGTGTCACCCTTGCTAGCTTTAAGAACTCATTCTTATATTTTATTGCACCAAAAAAAATGGTTATTTAGCACACTAACTTCCATGAATTACCTAAACATAAAATAATCATGGTTTCTAATACTCTACCTCAAAAGATAAAGTAAATTATGTAAATTTGAAAATGAAATAAATTTGGATGTGATTAAATATATATCATCGGATAATATGATAAGTAGCTTAAAGTCATTATTATATTTTTGTTTTTAACCAATATTTTCAATGAAAGTGTAAAATATTCTTATCAAGCTCCCTTGTCACTTAACATGTGTGCATTCACACATGAGTTACTTTTTTTTAAACAAAAAGTAACAGTCAAATTATAAATAAAGAAACAAACTTGATTTAAAATATGAATAAAAAAATAGTAAATGTCAATGTAAAAAAATGCAAATTTTCAAAAAGTGAATCAATGAATTATTGAGTATGAAAATTTACTTAAAAATTCCAATTGGAAGTTACATTTATTGCTCTTTATGTAAAATAAACATGGAAAGCACATTACTAAAGAGGTGGAGTGTTAACCTATTCTTTGACAGGTTGATATTCTCTTTATGAGAATATCAACCAATGTGTCTATTGCGTTGTACTCTGGCTCTACAAAATTTATTAGACCTATTCAATATCTTCTTCAATGCTATATTACTCCCTCCTGACTGAGCCAAGCGCAAATACCATTTGCAATTCTATACACTTAGATTTCGAATTTCAAGTTGCTATGCTTCTCCGGCTATTAAAAGCATTCACGATCGGGCGACTTCTGTGCGAAGCTTTTCAAATTTCTATACAGTTAGAATTTAAATTTGAAGTTTAACTTCGAATTTAAAGCTACATTCGAATTACGCTACTCTGCTCCTCCAGCGCCTTCCGCGGGAAACCTGGCGAAGACAATATAAAAGCCTGACTTCTCGACATTAGCAAATCAATCCGGGGCCGAGTCCAACCCTCATAACCCTCCCCACTCCAACGGACCGGGGACCCATCTGTACATTGGCCCCGAATGTGTACCAAGTGGCAACGATGGATCGGCGACTGGGGACGATGGTCGTGCCCTCGGGGACGGTGGGTGGAGTGTTTCTGACAGTGAGCATCCTCCTCACGATCATCTTCTACGACAGAATCATCATGCGCCTCATCAAACGCTTCACGGGGAATGGGCAAGGCATCTCGCACGCTGGATTGACTGCTTTCGCACCCGCGTTTATTGATCGTTACCTATCTCTTTCTTCGAGCTCTGAATGTGTACGCTTCTACTGCTGGTAAGTCAAACCGCGTGATCTTGGGGTTCCCATTCTCCTCTTTTATCTCCAACGTTCTCCTTGAACTACGCGTGGCTTAATCGTGAAGAGGAATTGAGCGTTGATTTTGGAATTTCCGTGGGGGCGAGTGGGTTCGCCTGATGAGGAGGAGTAGGAATTCATTTTCTTTAGTTTGCATGTTTCATTTCGCTGGACATCCTTTCGGGTGTCGCAACTTATTCACATTGTTCAAAATTCCGATTATGTGAGCTGAGTGATATCTGTCGACATGATGTTTTGGTCAATTTAGTAACGATTCCTCATTCGTGAGGACAATTGTATCGGTAGCTGTCAGTATTTGGTATTTAGATCAGTGATCATAACGATCGCGAAGCCTAAAGACTGCTGGAGCACAGTTTCCGTCTTCATGTGTTGCCAGAATTTTCTCACCTCTCATACTCAGCTCGTTGTACCATTTCAAGTTCCGGGCTTTACAGCAAGATTAGTTCGATGCCGAGAACTTAAGTTGCAGCTTGGCTCAGAGCTTTTTCTCCAAAGGTGTACTCCAGAATGCTTCATTTGAAGATGATCATCATCTTGGAGAGAAAGAGGTCAACCACAGAGTTCATTGAATGCCAACCGTGCCGACCTTTTACCTCTTTCCCTATGCAAGGGTTGTGAGCAAAGTAAAGGATGCACTTTGCAAAATTTCAATATGATTAGGTCTTGGACTCATGTATATTCCCACCCCGGATTTCGTCACCTGGCTGTGTTAGAGGTCTGCTCAGCTTCCTGTCTCTCAAGACATTATACTCTGAACACTTACGTGATCAGAGTGCCGGAACCAGTGAGGGTGGCAATCCAGTAAACTTGATCAACCCATCGAAGGAAGGCGGCCCCTCAAACCGAGAATTCTAGCGGTTCTGCTGAGTTTGGCCGAAGAAATGCTTCTCTGATTTCAAGTTATAGATTGTGCAAGTTTGTTAAAAGAGCCCTCCTATCGTCGTTCGTTCTTCGTTGTATCCTAGATATAACAACCTCATTTAGAGAAATGGATACTTATTTATCTACCGGGTAATGTTTATGGTGTCTCGGAACCAATTTGGACTAATTGATTCATCATTCAATCACGGCCTTCACCTTGTCGACTCATATCTGTCAGGCCCTTGATGATAAGTAGGCGCCGACTGTGAGGGGTAACCTGATCAGAGAGCTGAAGCATTTTGTCCTTGGTGACAATGTATCTGGTGCAGTAAGCTTGCAACAACTACGGAAATGAGCTTGATTCTAAGCATAATATTGCTAACCTTAGTATTGCTTGCCAGCTAAGTTTTTACCTGTTCATCTGAAGGAAGTTCAAGTAGGGCTTTTCCTTATAGAACCAACTTTGCAACATGAATTTCTGTCCCGAGTGTGGTGAAGGGTTCAAATTCGAATAGCATGGTGGGCGGAGCTATCACGTAGCAAATTAAGTCTTCTCTAGTTCGCTACTGCAGATCGCTAAGTGTGTAGAGATGAGTAGTGGGATAAGACTTATCCTGCTTGGGAAGAGTAAACTCGTTATCCGCTCCTGGAAAGAGCTGCATTGAGGTCTTCAAGTTTAGTCGATTTTGCGTTAGAGCAATTCATTACAGGTTTCTATGTGAGGTACTTTTAATACTGGAAGGGGTTTGACGTAGGAAACACTTTACCTTGCATGTGGTTGACATGGAAGAGCAGGACATCCTTTGTGTCCTTTTCGGATTCGAATTCTGGATTCTTCAGTGAATCATTTCATGTTAATTATAGGTGCAATTCCTAATGAAGCCAGATTAGCGAATCAATTTCGGTTAGTTCGACTTTCTTCGCTGTTGAGTTTGTTTTTGCACTTTGACGGGCTTGCTGCTCGTTCTCTTTACAGGCCGTCCCACGGCCTTAATCGTTTCGCGTGGACTTCAGACATTCCTTTTTTCTTTCCCTTTCTGGAGATACGCAACTTATTTTAGCGCTTTAGTCGGGCGTGATCCAATAACAAGGGTTTTGAAGGACCACAAACATCAGCATCTGAAACTTGTTGTGCACATACAGTTCCCTTGCAAGTGATTTGGGTTGAATGTTATTAATTACTAGATATTTCATCATCAATACGTGATGTGCTCATCTTCACGCTGTTTTTTTACCATTCCCTATACGCTAATTTCTAAAGCGTCACATATGTGTGATGGACTTGTCTTCATATCCGCAAGAGTTGTGTTGAGCAGGTTGTGCAAATGGCTCGATTTCTCCCAGTTTATTTCGTTTGCCTAAGAATACTTCAATTATCTTAAGGCTCTTACATTTTTTTTCCCGGAGACAAACTCTTGATTGGCATCTACTTTCATAAACAACGGCACAGCATATAATCCATCCTCAGTTTGGAAGATAAAAAACTTTGATTTCGGTCGTGTTTATTTGAAGAGCTCTAGAAGCCTCCAGAGTTTTATTGCTGTTATCTAGAACGGTTGGCTTAATGAATATGCATTCTTATGTCTGTTTGCAGCCTCGTTCCTGCAAGAAGGTGATGCTGCGGTTGCCAATGGTGACTACACTACGGCGGTCCGTCATTATAGCAGTTTTATTGGTATGAATATCCTCCCTATATGTGTTTGTACGCATTTTTAATATACTTAGTATCAGTACGCATTGTTATGGGCAACATACTCTGTTGTCCAAATTCCAGTGCTTAATGTATTGTGTCTTCAATTTTGACTCTTGTTAAAGTCAGCCTTGTTTTAAGACACTTGATTAATACTTGGCAGTGTTTCCTTCTTACTAAATCTTCAAACATATGTTATTTCTCGGCAGATTTGAGCAATAGGCTACTCCAAGCGGTCGGCGGTTTATGTACAGCAAAAAACATACAAGGTAGCCATCTATGACTTGGATAAAGCTGTCGAAGCTGATCCAGTATTTGTTCAGGGTTCTTTGAATAGGGGCCGCCTTTTTCGACAGAGCTGCAGGTAAACTTCTCCACCTTTACATAAGTTTTTCAAGGAAATATATTCAGGGCTGGTTATAGAGTTGCTACTCTACTGAGATTTCTCGACATTCTCGCGAGATCCGGACCGGAGAAGTTCTTCGTCGTCGTCACCCTGGAAAGTAGATGGTGATTCCTGACACATCGATGGATCTGCTCGGCGACGGTAGGCGGCGGGGTGTCACCGAAGGTCCGGACCTGGATCCCGACCTGACGATCGTGGTCCGCGAGGTAAGCTTTGCGGAATCGAGTGATCCAGCCCCAGACGGCATCAGAAGGATGCAGAAGATATCGGCCCAGCAGATGAAAAACCGCTTCCTTGTCTCGGAACAATAAATCCAGCTCCGCGAGGAACTGCGAGACGAACAGCAACCCCGGCACGAAGTAAGCATTTGATCTCAGAAACAGCCACGGCTTCGAGTCCAGCTGATCTTGACCTCGGTCGCAGAAAAACACTTGATCCTTGTCGTCGGAGGTGTGCGTCAGATGGACGTAAGAGAATTCGGCCGTGGCTGTCGGTGAGGCGTGGTCGGAGACGCTGAATTTGTGGCCGAATCGTCGCGGAGAACACTCGTTCAATGGCCGAGTCCAATCCCGCGTGATCTCTGTCGGAAGGAGCCACGAGGACCGGGGGATCGGCTCGCAGAACAGCTCGCTCATGTCCGTGCTCCCATCGACCAGAAGAGTTCGGTTCGTGAGCAGCGCGTATAAGAAAGTGGAGACGAGAGTCATGAGTCTGTTCCCCATGCCGCTGTAAGCGATCCACACCACGTACCGGCATTCGTCCCTCGATCCATTACGCGCTTCAGAGGTATTTCCTCGCCTTGCGAAGTCTGCATCCGGTCGAAGAAATTCATCCATCGCTCGGCCGGCGCATCGACGGTGTTGGATCTCATAGCTTCGCAGTTTCTGGACGAGCTCTCGGGACGGCTGCGGCTCGTGGCGGCTCTGTCTGTGTCGTCGTCGGTGATGGGCTCGACTTGCACAAGCGTCGCTCTGGAATTCAGATGGCTCAGCCAAGAGACTCCTCAGCGTTGGATCCACTCCTTCATCCTCTTCTTCACTCGATCCGTCCGATTTGCTTTGATCCGTCCTCAGAAACAGAAGTTGCTCGTCCGACATGCGAAACTTTCTGAGAGAGACTGGGAACGATGCGGACGACGGGTCATCGTAGCAGGCGAGAGAGAACACGCTCGAATACAGAGACAAGGCTGCGAGGGCGAAGAGAAATACGCTTGCCAGTTGCATTGGGACTCTGATTTTGTTCTCGTCTGATACTGGCGAGTGAACAGACTTCCTTGACAAGTGAGGCCCTGTACATTTCTGTTTCTTCATTCGATGTTTGACAGAGTTGGAATCTTCAAGCAATCTTTCCTACGATGAATCGTCTCGAGCTCTTGTGCTGCTCTCTACGTCAGCAAGCTTAGTAGAACTAACTGTTAATTTGAGAGTGACACCGGGCTGAAAATACGCACCCAGTGGCAACGACTCGAGTCTCTCGAGTCAGAGGCTCCTAAGGCCCGCTTCTAAGGCTTCTAAGGCCCGCCACGTGGGCCTCCTAAGGCCCACGTGGCGGGGATGTGCGGGCGTTCGAACGCCCGCGCATCCCCTCCACCCTTACCCCCACGCGTGGTGGGGCTTGGGGGACGGCCCCTCCCCCGAAACGTCTCTAAGCCCCCGCTTCCGGAGGGGGACTAGAGACTTTTCGGGGGGCAAGTGTCGGAACCTCTCTCCATGTGCCACGAGGTTATTATATTTGTACGTGCTACTGCAGCATGAGTGTGATTCGAACCTGAAATGTGAAAAGATGTTACCTCCGAAGCCAGTAGATCGCCACTTCGCACGGCTTGATATCACAGAATGGAAGTTCTGTGTTGTCACACCTCTCCAACCGCAGCTCGTAGACCAGCACTTGCACTCACGAGCTCTCTGCAGATTTGAGTTACAGCTCTCGGGAGACTACGAAACTGTTGAGCCATGATTGATTCGACTCCAGCAGATACCAACTTTTCACAGGAAAATCAACTGTCAGAAAATCAGAAAAATTTTTCAATTTCATTGATGCGCACTTCATTTATTCTCCCAATTTCAGGCGATTTCGGGAGGGTGACATTTCGAGGCGACTGCCTCAAAATATCACCGTCTCACACAATCCTCTTCTGAATGCTTGTGCGTTTGAAACTCTGTACATCATAGTAGCAAACTAAAAGGGGTAGCAGTTAGTCAATTACGAGCTGACATCTGTAATATCTGTGGACGCTGGCTGCAGAAATCTGGACGAGGGAAGAATGGATCTGAGAACTTTGATCAGAAAGACGAGAGGTAAGGTTTCCCATGGATCTCCAGGTCGACTCTATTCCGTTTCGAGTACAATTGCAATGTGCATCAGCTGAGAAGGGGTAGAAGTCAAGTAGACACTTACTTTGTGAACGCTGGCTGCAGAAGAAGTCTGGACGAGAAAGGAATAGAAACACTAACGACTTCTCTCTCCTTACTTACAGTCCCCGACAGTCACATCGACCGGGTGTCGGAGTGGGAACGAATGATGAAGCTGTGCTCCGTCGAGAGTTCATTTTATACTGGCAATTGGGATTTGGTGTAATTGGAAAACGGGGGAATAATTTCAAACTATTCCCCCGTTTTACAAGTACCGGAATTTGCGCTACCTGCAGTTTTGAACCAATTTGAATCCATCGTCTCTTAAACTCACCTCCCATCAAAGCGAGGGCGGGAAGAGAAATCTCTGATGACCACTGACACAAGCAGCGTTAACTGACAACATCCAGTCTGGTGACGTCGCTAATTCTAATCAGGGTTAAAGTGCACGAAGCTCGTAAACAGCCGCTGAAGCTGTTTTGTTCATGGGGCATCAACTCATGGGTGTAGTAAGAATACTCGTTCCCGTAGTGGATCATAACTGCTGGGGACAGAAGAATGTGGAAGCCAGAAAGAACTATCAAATAAACTGATGGAAGTAGTATAGCTGATCCTCGAAATGCGACAATCGGCTCTTCCGTGTTTGCTTCGACTCTCCGAGTACACCAAAATACCCATTTTTGAGAGCCTTTTCTCGGCCTATCAGGTGCGTCTCTCGAAATCGAAACCATCGAGCTCCTGCTGCACCTTACAAGCGACCACATCACAGTACGGCTGCAGTCCGCACCGAGATTATCCTTCTGCCGAGGGTGCACTCCCTAATTCAAGCACGTTTGGAGGAAATTTCCTTGCAAGAAGCCCATTTTGTGGCCTCAGACCTGGAGCCCTCCTAACAAAAAACCGTCACAGGATGCCAACCGTGAGCACCCTGTTAGGGAAAAATGGCGACGAGGAGCTGTCTGTTTTCTGTGTTGCGGCGATTCTTGTGCAGAATCGAAACAAGTTGCTGAAGGAGGTTCAATCAATGGATGATGCTATTAAAGTACGTTACACGTGAGCGTATACAGTTTCCTTCGTGTTCGTTTTGCGGAACTGGTTGGTTCTGTTGTTTTCGTTCTTGTTGTTGTTGGCTAACTGTTGCCGATGTGCGATGTGCAGATGTTCAACGACATGAACCTCACAATACGTGTTCATAGCAGCATGCATACAGCCATCAAGCTGCGGAAGAAGTACCGTAGTAGGGTAAGGTCTTCTACCATCGGGGCAAAGTTTTCACTGCAATAAGTATTTGGCGTGAGACTTCATATTATGGGAGTACTTTTCTACCGTAAGAGAGTTTGTGCTGGAGGCGCAAGGGTGTTGGTCCTGTTCACCACTGTACTCCTGTAATCCATCCGTCAGACAAGTAAACAATTTCTTTCTGCAAGATGAAGACCCATGTCTTTGTGATTTCTCCATTGGGATATTGATCTGAACTTTTGAACAGAAGGAAATACTGTAACCTGGGAAAGAAGGTTTCCTTGTCTGATTGTGTTGGTCCAAAAAGGATTTAATTCAGATGGCCAAACATGTCATTCTGGAAGTCTTGACGGAACACTGATCTTCTCCATCTAGTCATGAAGCGTGACGAGTCAAGCAGCAGTTTGTACCTAGATTTATTGTACAGGACCTGCTTGCCTTCTTTAGTTATTCTTTTGACGGGGCCAATAAATATGTAGATCGCTTGTGGATGTAGTGTGTCATACATGCGTTCCTTATCAAGATTAGGTAGCCGAATCTGTCGAAAAGTGTTGTACTTATCACACACACGACACCTTCCGTTGTAAGCCTTTTGTATCACGAACATAGCTCTCTCGCTCTTATTTTAATGCGTACATCAAGGAGAATCAACGCGACCAGCACCTCGTAGAATGCTGGCGAATGCATATTTCTCTTGTGAATTTGGATTCTTGTTTCTGATTATATCCTGTGTAGTCTCTCCTAGTTGCTTGGCGGACTTGCCGTTTTCCCCTGTTTTTTGTCTGAGTAAGTATTCTACTTTTCGAGTGGACTACTTTCCGCCTTTCCTTTACTTTTTTCAGTCCCAGAGGCTCTCGGTGGTCTGGATTTTTTCTTGTGTATGCTTCCACGGACACATTTGAGGGAGTTTCTTGGTTGCAGGTCAAGCTAGGAAAGTACATGGTATGTACCTGTCCGTGCTTGATATTTCTTTTGTCGACATGCTCATGGAATTGATGAGTTACTCCGCCTTGCCCAACGAATATCCTTACCATCAAAATGTGCTGAAAGAACACCACGACAGGTGAAATTGTCATGCCTTTCGGAGATTACTAACGAACTTGCGAAAAAACATTTTTTAATGACAGTTAACTCTACTATGATAATGGTGACTAACAAAAAACAGATAAATATTGGGACACATTAATACTTGAAACTATGCTGATCGGACCGAATTGTTTATCTCGATAAGTTATCTGTTGGTTCAATCGAGCAGTACATATGCTATATCAACAATATCGATACAAACAAGTTGCCGCCTGATGCGCCAAAATGATTAGCACTTTCGCATTACGTAGAGTGTTGATACTAAAAACAAGCAGCCCTTAAACTTGCTGTCCTTGTGTACAATGAGGGTTGCGAACACTAATTGATTGACATCGTCACATGTGGATGTAATCTCAAGACGCTAGAGCGTACGGACCCGGATGACCTACGCCAGCTTTCGTGTCCTGCCTTGTACGCGAAACGGTGAACGACGAGTCATCAAGGTAAGTTTAGGACTTGTGTACGAATTATATATTATATATCTTTTAATACTAAAGAAACAATGCATTTATGCAGTATCAGATGAATGCTTTGATAAGATGACTCTGTCTACGCGTAATGCAAGCAGATCGTGCAGCTCCTAGTTGACACAGTGGATGGCTTTTGATGATTCAGAAAGCGAGATTTCCAAGATAATGTGTACTGTGCTTCCGGTATCCCACATGGAAGTTTCCCAGTGCCGGGCGCCGCAGATCTGACACTGAAAGCGCATGTGTCATCGATTCTAGACAGATGGAACGCACATGGACCAGAACAAATGCAACGAGTTCAGCTTTGCGAAAAGCCATGAAATCCGTTTCCAGCGAAGATGGAGAAAGCGGTTGAGATGGAGTTTCTGTACTGATTGCGTTTTGTGCAAGAATCAAGGAAAGCAGCTGGTTCTTGCTTGGCTTCTCCACACTCTCGGCCATGCAGTCAGTCAGTCGGCTATGTTTAGTGGCGATTGAGGTTTGGCCCTACCACGACGCACACCGTGCTCTGAAGGAGCAGCTAGCCTCTCGACTTCATCTTTGCAGTACAGGCTCCCAAACCCAAACTAGGCTCTTGCTTCCTGATCAGACGCGAGGCTCCTGCTAGGTCACTTCGTCTGTCAGTTTGAGGCGTAGCCTTCCCCCTTTGTTGAAGGTCTCTCATGCCCACAACTGCGTTCTTTGCTCTTACGAGAACCACAACTTATTCGAGTCGTCTACTGGTGGTGACAATCATTGTCCCTCGGTTTCCAAACCCGAAGCCTTAAATCATGAATCCTCGAACCTGAATCCGTAGCAGGAGTTGGTATAGCCAGTCGATCGTTTCTCGTTGACGCATGGTCCGGACTCCAGAAATGCAGAGGGAGTTGCGCGCTCTGTCGCCCTCCCCCGTACACGAACCATGATGATGACTCGTGACCATGGCTACAGATTGTTGCACTCGCTCCCAGTTAGCTTCTGCTGTTGAACTCCATGATGACACTGCAATTAACGAGCTGAGCGCTCTCCTCAAAGTTCGTCCAGCATAAGTCAACTTCCTGCCTTAATGAGCTTCGGGTCCAAACTTCAATTTCGCCACATGAATGCCAGTGGTACAGTATCGTTTCGATTGTGCTGCATTAATTGTATTTCAAAATTTCCATATCATGACATCATCTCTGCCCACCCTGCGAATGCCTGTGCCTGTGACCAAAGGCCAAGCTTGACCTTACTCCATTTCTACAATTGATTCTGACTGGTGGATAACTACTGATCTTGTGTGCATATCCACTGTCCTGAATCCAAATCCAAAACGATAGAAGGTGGCTACTGAATTCAGGTACAAGTGAGGAACTTTGTGAAGTTTAACATCCCAGGTGTTTGGATCGAATTCACTGCAGACTAGAGTTCAGTACTACGGTTCAGTATCTTGACTCTTGTCTGTCTGTACATAATTTAATGTGCAGCTCTTGTATATACATACTCACTGTACGTTCGAATTCTCAAGCATGTCGCGTCTTGCCTGCCTTTAATGTTCACCGCACACTCGTGTACAGTGACATTTCATCTGTAGTAGAGCTCTCACTTTGCTCTGATTTGATGGTTGCTTCGAACTATCAAGTGAACCAGCTGAGATCGGTTACTTGAATCCTGCATGCAGCTCCTCCTGCTCAGCCTCTCGAGATTCTAAAAGCTTCGATCCTCATCATCTGCACCGCATCTCATACTTCCACGTCCATTTGTTGTCAACTTCTTCAAGTGCATACATGATCAGAACTTCCGGTATATCGACAATTTCCTAACCTTGCTATTTAGGAAATTATTATGAACCTCCTAAACATATTCTTCAGTGTTGATGCAAGCTTTTCCGAGTGTATCGAGAGGACGAACTTTCTTCGAGGTGATCGATCTTCAAGTTCGATCCAGTGTCAAAATACGGGGTACACAATATCTGCCTCGGAATGCAGCTCGGATGCAGTCGTCTTCAGATCTATGCGGCCAGCCGTTTAATATCTCCTGGCATGTCGATTGGATGGATTGATTGGATGGATGGATGGATGCATGGCAAGGATTGGCTAGTCGATTGTTTTAGCGAGACTGTTTTTGACAAATCGTGATTCTCCTCGTCACTGGAGCCCAGAATTTAGAATCCACCCGATTGCGTGTCAGTAAATGGTGGGTCTTGCAAGCTGATCGATGAGACTTCTACACGAGTATCTAAATTGAAACTGTCGCTTCTTTTTCACCCTCAGCTGGTCGATTCTCTCCTCTGATAGACCTCGCGCACTCACAGAGCTCTGAAAGTTCGGGAAATCTGCTCAGCCTCTAGCGTCAGTGAAGACTCGAGAGGCACGAGAAGAATGCTTCGACGTTCTTCGGGGCGAAGCTCGTCCATGCCGTTCCTACTCTGCAGCAAGCTGCAAATCTGAGCAGAAATACTCTCTGAACCTAAGTTTGTAAGAGTAACATTCGACGATGTCTCGACGTGATTTTCGTTCGTTATTCGATGAGTCAGACGTAAGCTGTGCACGTAGAGCTCTTGGCTCGAGTGAAAAGCACAGTTCAGCTCGATCGCTCGGCCTTGTGCACTCTGCTGACCATATACAGAGCACAGAGAAGAGAGTCAACAGGCAAAGTATGGACAACGAGCGAGTGGAGCTAAGTGACGGCAGTCGGCTCGGTTCTGAGAAGCTGAGATCAGTTGACAGAACAGGTGGAGTCTCGTCGAGCCATGGAATGGAGCCTGCCTGTGTAGGATATCGCAATCATTGAACTGCAAACAAATCAGATCAGCGTTCCTCTGTCGAGAGCCATGTTCGTCGCAGAGCACTGCGGGCTGTGTGTGTGTGTGTGTGGGTGGGTGGGTGACTGTCAGCATCCAAAAATGTTTCTTGGTGATGAGAGAGAAATACTTGACTGATCCATGATTCTGTCAGTGTGGAAGAACTTTGTAGCACCAATCAAGTCCGTCTTGGTTTCTACATTTTTGAATGGGACTCATCAAGACATGTTCATGGCAGTATGCTAAACATCTCACCCGCTCGAGGCCCTGAAATTTTCATGTTTTGTGTGCAAACTGGGATTCATTAATGGGGAGAACGGCAAGAGTAAGAAGGCAGGCCGAACCATGGGTACCAGTTGTAGCATCTATGCCATAGCCATAGGGTTCCAACCAAACCAACACGCTGACACAGGGTCAGCTAGCTGCTCATATTGCTCATCAAAACCTTCACTACCGAATCATAGCATAAAACAATTTGGACAATGACTACAGATCTAATCTAACGAGGGCCAGATACATCGGATAACCAAATTTGTGGACTTGGACTTGCAATCAGCTCAAGTCATATCTGAAGAGCACTTGCTGTGCACACAACACAGCCTCGGAATGTATGGCAGGTGTCCTCACAAGAACTGTCACTCTTTGGTGCCACTTTTAAGCAGGAGACGAGAATATGTCGCCGTCCGAAAGTTTGTGAATTAGGAAGCAGTTCTTACAATCAGTTGAATCAGTTGCAACAGAGGAGTGTAACCCTTCTTTCGCCTGCTCAAAGTCTGCAGGCTGTTCACCTCCTCTTGATTTCAGACTCATGGTGGGACAGGCATCCATAAGCTGGATTGCCCACCGATCAGCAGGTGATTTGAAGGATCGGATGTCTATGTTGCAATTTGCGGCAATCTGCAGAGTCCTGAGTGATTTGCTCTACTGAGAGGCGAAACGTGGAGGTGTCTATTATGGCCAAACTTTCTGCAAGCCGGTGTATGAAGTCAGATTCCATCCTGGAAGCTATTGTAGATCCAAGTGGTATCGAGAAAACACTTAATCGTCAACAGCTCGGATCTGATCTGGTGAAGGTGAGTGGATCATCCATTTCCACAGTTTGGGTCGGATCAGATCCTTTCAAAAAGTGACATGGTCCACTGCTTCCAGAACTGAATACATGAAGACGTGGAGTCGTATTGCCCAATTGAATTCCTTGCTGCAAAAGATGTCGATTTAGAGCGAGACATGCAGAGCAGAGTTTGAAGTCCCTAGAGCACAGCAGGGAAGGAAAAGTACGAGTTAATGAAGGTTGAATAAGTCTCAGGACAGGCTAGAGTGGCACATGAATATGATATT